AATTTATAATTTTTATTAAATATGTTTAAAAGTGCACAAATTAGAAGAAAACTAAAAAAATTTGCATTGGATGTCTTAGTATGTAGTGGGCATTCTGGTACGGTTTTTATTGTATAGTTGTAAACAGTCAAACTGGCATCGAAGAAAGGTGTAAGTCATGGGTAGTATATGGTTATTTTTGACTTGTAGAATGTAGTAATTATTTATTATTTTCAATTGGCGTCTGACTTTCAAATATAATTTATTTTTTGATGTATAGAATTGAATGTTTGGAAAATTATTGATTCGTTATAAGAAACTGTTGCATCCATTACACACCTTTGCTGTTACAAATGGCTTGTTGTGCGCAATAAGATTGTCTCCTGGCCTAACGATAAATGTTCATGTCAAAGTTTCACTTGAACAAACCTTATATATTATTCCAGTAAAAAGAGGGGAGGGGCGAATGTAATGTACTGTGTGGTAGCGTATGTAGCATGATAACAATGTTACTTTTTTACATCTTATATGCGCTCATATTTACAATCAGAACAAGCTTTTCAATGGCACGCGGTTTTACCGTGGCTCTCTGGATAAAGCAATCGCTTATGACATCTCTCCTAGACGTTGTGATTTCATTAAATTTAACCCTCCTTTTTTTGCCCATTAAAATTCAGAATATTTTTTAATGGTTTCTTAACACTTCCTGTTAAGAACAGATATTAATTCTCTTTCTCTCTCTACGTTTTAATCACTTCTGAAGAAGTGAAATCCGTCCATCTACATAAATGGTTCGAAACGAATGGATTGCATTACCTGTGGAGTCGTCATTTGAGAAATTACGCACACACTTCTACGACTTGAACGTTTTTTGCGGTAATTTAAATCCTGAAGTTGTTGCCATTTAAGGGGTGTTCTTCAGTTGAAAGACTCAAAACAGCGCTCGCAAATACTGTATCTATACTGACAACCTGAGAAGCGTTTTAAAATTAGTGATCGGTGTCATCCTGTGGTGTGTGTGATATATTCGTCATATGTCGATTGTATGACTGGAGCTTTCGTATTAATTTTTGTAGGATTCCCAGCCTAGTTAGTATTATAGGCAACGAGCGAGCTGTCTGTGCGTCTTAGTTGGCAGTTGGCTTTATCACTAGCCGTCTCATGTGATATGAAGCCTGCCATCGTGCAATTTACAGTTGAATAACAAACTGCACATTATGAAACTCGTCATTGTAGCTTGATCTGTGGTTCCAATTCGAAAAGCTGGTGTCAAATTGATTCACCTTCGCATAGGACAGTGATGGAGAACCTATGACCCGTGGGTCAGACACTGACCCACGCAAGCTTTTTAACTGACCCATGACTGCTAGGCAACCACTTGTTTGTTTACTCGGGTTTATTTAGATTTTCTGTTTTGTGTGGATTATTTTTAGTCTATTTGTATTTTTTCAAGCATTGCATTGACACGAACGCAATTTAAATGCTGTCTATAACTTTCAGTTTGATTCTTACAGTTCCAAAGTTACGCAAATGACATCAAATGTTTATGAAAGTATGTAGCATTTGAAATAAAGCTAAAGTGTTTACAAAATATCAAATAAAATGTACAATTTTGCTCACATTTTTTTTGTTGAAGAAAAAATCAACAAACCAAAGCAAATAATCATATTTAACCCTCTAAGCGGTCTGCACTTAAAGTCTTGCCATTCTGGAGATGCTTCAAATATGCACCGCACATATTTTTTTGCTTTCAGGTCGGTTGAGTCGTATTTTTAAGAATGCGGCTCGGCCGCTTTTGGGGATCTTGCTTGAAGGCAGAAAAAGCATCTCTGGAATGGCGGGATTTTACGTGCAGACCGCTTGGAGGGTTAAAGCACTTTTTTCACGTGTTTAGAATGTAGACCTACACTGTTTGCTGATTTTAAAGAAAAAGATTTAATTATAAAACATTAAGGAGTTACCTATTAGTCACAATATAGTTAAAAATCGAGTAATAGAATTAGAAAAAAAATATTTTTTCGCAAATACATAACGACTTAAATTATGCAGAAATGTATTCAATTACTTTAGATGAGAGTAATGATGTAAATGGTTATGGAGAATTAGCAGTTTTTGCTCGGTATAAGTATGGAAATATAATGAAAGAAGAGTTAATAAAACTAATAAAATTGAAAGGGAAGTGTACCGGAATTGATATTTTTAAAGAATTTGATATTGCATTGAAAGAAATAGCTATTGACCTTCAGAAAATAATTTCTGTTGCAACAGACGGTGCACTTGGTATGGTAGGGAAAACATTGGATTTATTCACTATTTTAGGGGGACACAGTACGATTCAATTGACCGAAATCGGTCAAAAAATCAAATTTAATTTTTTTAGCCTAAATTATTCTTTATATACTTTTCTATCTCACAAAATTTGAAAGGTCTAAACTTAAAAAAAGCAGAATTATGATAGCTTTCATGTTCGTTTTTATTCACATCTCTATGGCCAATCAAAACTTTAAACTGTCTTATCTCAGAAAGATAAAATAACTAGTTTGTCTTCATTTAAAATGCTATGGTTTTTTGTCTATTGTGTCTAATACTTTGAAATTTTTTTTACCTATTGCTAATAGTACATGTAACAAAAGTTGGTTGCATTTTTGAATCAAGGCAATATTTATTTTTTTAAAAATAATTGAACTCAGAATTTATACATTTTTTAAGGAATTGTCAATAAACATTCATAAAAAGAAGTATTGTATGAATACCAATCATGTTAACGCAAAACCCATACCAACTTTTATTATACATAGTTTGATGTACTTGTAAATCAAATTTCATGCATGTACGTAAATTTTTGTAGGAGGAGTAGCATTTTAAAATCACTTCACAAATTTTAAGTTTTTTCCTTAAAAAATTACATGGCTAGCTTTTTATGAATTTTTGAGCACAAAATCTGTTTAACATAGTATACATACATAGGAGACAACCAAAAAAATTTTAAAAATCCTTAAATTAAAATTTTGTTCTTAAATCGTACCATGTCCCCTTAAGCAAAATATTTTACATTCTGTAATTGAATTTCATTGTTTTTAATGCACCAGCAAGTTTCATGTGCAAAACATGGTTTAAAAAATATTTTCCAGTGTAATATCATTGTAATGAAAATAATCATTTGCAAACGCAAGAGCTCTTTGTAAATGGCAATTTGCACAATTCTTAGAGGAAATTGAATGCCAATATTCAGGGATTGGTGACTTATTTTCGGTCGTCCTTAATCACTTTGTAGAAAAGCTCTTTTTTTTAATTGGAAAAGGCAATAGTTTCAATGAATTATCGAATATACATTGGTGAAATGATTTACAGTTTTTATGCGACGTCACTCAGCATTTTAATGAACTGAATAAAACACTTATAGGGTTGGGACCAATTGTTTTAACGAAGCTTGAAAATATTGAAATATTTATGACGAAACTTAAAATCTTAACTAAGGATTTGGAAATGAAAATCATGAAATATTTTCCTCATTTACAAAATCATTTTCAAAGCACAATGATTTTTAAAAACTCCGTTGACATTCAAGAAAATGCAATTAAAAATATTTAATGATTATGCAGGAAATAAAGCAGGCTTTTGAGAAGAGATTCAATCAATTTAAAAATTAGGAAAATGCATTTCACTTTATTTTATATCCATACAAAACAGAATTTGAAATGGAGTTCACTGACTTTATGTGGTTAGGTATCGATAATTTAGAAATGCAATTAGTTGAATTTTGATGCAACGTAGGGCGGAAAACAAAATTTGAAGAGTTGATCTCTGATGTAGAAGGAAAACTGTGGAAGTAGTGAACTGTGATATTGATCCCACAGTAAAAATAAAAAAGTATGATATTCTTTATTGAATGATTTTATACCAATGAAAAAACTAGTTAATGCTCTTTTAATGATGTTTGGGACCACATATTCGTGTGAAAAACTGTTTTCTCCAATTTGAACTTTATAAAATCTTCTAATAGAAATAGACTTGACAGGCATTAATTGCGAAATGCGTTAAACTTAATGAATATGAAATATGAACGTAATTTTAAAAAACTATCTGAAAATAAACAGCAACAGATTTCTCACTAAATACTTTATAATCAATTTTGTTATACAATCATATATATACATAATAAATAATATTTCATAATATATATTGTATGCAATTTCCTTTACTCCTTGTTCATTCAAACACTTATCGTAATTTGCACCAAACACTTAAGAATTTTTAACCCCAATAAAAAATTTTAAATCGTCAAATCACGCCAATTTTTACTCGTTAAGACAATTGAATTTTAAAGATGTTTAGTTTTAAAAATACTCAGTTAAAAAATTTTAAACTTAACTGTGGTGCAAATAGGTATTAGTTATCCACGAGCTAATACTAAAAAAATATAAACAAAATTTGACGCACATCTCAAAAAGGTTCGCCATCCCTGGCATAGGACATACTCGTTTTACTCACAGGTATCTATTTTCGGGACAGAACTTTCCGAATATCTTTCATGCAAGGTCGCATACACCGTTCGTCATATCTTCATTACTTGTCCTGTTTTTCATCTTTGTATCACATTTTTATTCATTTGTTTTAAACTTAAATAAACAAATGGAAGTGACCCCCCATCAAAATCTTATTTCCTTTCATTTTGAAAACTTGATTTTTACATTTAATTTGAGATTTTGTCTTTTATATCTTTTAAACTGTGATCTTATCAACGGATTTAGATACATTTATAAGTATATAATATTATACGTTTATAAGTATATATATTTTTAATATTTTTAACAATTATTTGGCGCCATTGAACCAAACTCTCACTCAAAAAGTGAAATGTATCAATATAGACTTATTCTAATGCCCAGGGAGCAACAGAGATGTGACCACTTATTTTTATCTTAATTTCCTTTATCTAAATTATGATGAGAGGGTAAAGGTTTTTTTGGGAGCCTCATAATACTTTACGGTGGGTGATTATTCCCATAGAATTGAGTCGGGGAGCTCCCAGGTGGTCACCTTTCCAAGCACTGACCGCGCTCGATGATGCTGAACTTCGGTGATCGGACGAGAACCTGTCCTTTCAGCCTTTTAACATGCGGGTTCGGCATAATGTTTTGACTGAGAATTGTACCTACAAATAGCCTTCATAAAACTATCATCCATAGACAATCGATCGGTTGGTAAAACAATGAACCCTATTTTCTTCAAATATCTAAATCGCCCCCCCCCCTTTTAGATGACAAACTGAAAATTGCAAAAAATTCATATCAGTATATGAACTTATCACTCAATTTACATTAATTCTGTAACTCGTGGTTTAGTAACTATGGTCCCTGTAGCGTCGGCTCATTAGACGAACACTTCACGACAATACTTGTCAAGTTTGATGTATGGGGATGAGCAGAATGCCCAGATGGGACATTGTATTCTTTCAAAAGAGACCATGTATTCTTCCCGCACGCCTGGGGGCAAAGCAGATGTTGAGCCGTTTCTGGAAACCACTTTGCTGATACCACATCTCTTCCTTCTCCGACGCCGGAATGACTTTCAGCCACTACGATTAAAAAAAGGACACTTTTGTTGAATACTTTCTATTATTTCGTTACTTCGCACACGTGAAGCAAATTACTTGAATGGATGAATGTCGGCCTGTTGTGATAAAGACATACCCAGGGGGTATCCTCAGTGTCAAAGTGACAGGTCGATTGTGATAGAATCTCCATATGGTGTTCGAGGTATGGCGACGGAGTTGATCTCAGTTGCGTCAATGTTGGATGTGTTACTTTAATAAAGTATTTCCATAATGAAGTATTGTTCGCTTATTGATTTTCTAAATTATGCTCTATGACTCAGTGCAATTCATATATTTTGAACAGCTTAAGAGAAAATCAAATGTTACATATAGTTCACTTTTTCTCTGTAATATTTAATGCATGCAAGTAATCACGACCTCCACCCCTCCCCACATGCTTCTAATGAAAATTAAATATGCAGTAGGTAGCTAAACACAAGATTTGAACTTTTGAAAATAAAAACTGGATAAAAAAATATGTATATTTGTGCATAAATCATTTAAGCTAGTTACAGCAGGATTAATTCTAAGTCTTTAAACTGTCCGAGCTCATGTAATTATTTTAAGTCGTAATTTGTTATAAAATTGGGTCAATTTGAATTACAAAGACCAAAAGCTTATTTTATTTATAAACTATAGAAAAAAGAATTGCAAACTGAAATACAGCTATCATATTTCACTTGTTCAAGTTTCATAGTTTTGATATCCTTCTTCAATGACCTTTGTGTACTTATAGTTAACATTCGTTCAAAGGAACCATGGTTTTGGACTATCCGTGTAAATTTTTAAGACAAACGTTTACAAATTTAAAAATTTGGCATCAGAAAGCAAGCAAGATGGAGTAAGTAATTTAAAAGGCAAGAGATTAATTTGTTAAGTTCCACTTCACAAATGGAATGCACCACAAAACCCTTTTTGACTGAACTCTGGATTATAGACAGTTTTCAATTACCCTTTACTAAAAACAGTTATTTAAGATTTAATAGATTGACAGACTGCCCTCCAAACTAGTTTAGGTTTTAGATGAACACTGAATTTAATAATTTATTATTAAAAACTAACCTTGTGACTAACTAGGAAGTAGGCAAAGTATTTGAATCCACTGTACAAGTTGATTGGGAAAGATATCCCTGAAATGAATTTCTGTGTAATGTAGTTCCTTAATATATAAATTCATAATGAATGTTCTTTCTCTAAAATCTGATTACATTTGACTCAGTTGGTTATAGCTGTATTTTGTAAGATATTTCATTTAATTTTAATCTGGAATATTTTAATATAATTTATGAGGAATTAAACTAATTCTTTAATAATTATGAATTTGTTGATGATTAAAAATTTGCCTTTCATGAATTCAAATAGGAAATACAAAACAAAAAGAGAAATTGTCCTTTATTATTAAGCTATTTTTTTCACAATTTAAAATATTAGAAAACGGGGGGAAATCTTCAGTGTCTCCTGAAAAAATTAGCTGGTCTCAATTAGATTATTAGCTCAATTGAGAATTAGGTTATCTCTCTAACTTTGAAAATCTATTTGAAATATTTGAAAGTGGCCAAATGGGCAATCAATAACATTCAGCAAATTCAAGAGTGGGTTACAGCAGATGGGCGAGTCACTATAGATGAGGTCACATTTATAAACATCATTCATGGTTCTGCCTATCAAATTATTCATGACAAACTCAAATTCCATAACGCGTGTGCGATGAGTTCCGCAAATGCTTACCGCAGCAACCAACAAGTTGGGCTTTGAGACCCTGGAACATCTTCCCTACTGCTGAGATCTCACTCCCTTAAACTTTTATCGCTTTGGACCATTCAAAGAAGCTCCAAGAGGTCATCGATTCGCCTCATATGTTGACATTTGGGATGTGTTGCAAAAGTAGTTTTAACAACTAACCGAAAACCTTCTTGGAAGGCATATAGACGATTGTGGTGCGCTGGACCAAATGTATTGCTCAAGGTGGAAACTATATTGAAAAATTATGTATCTGTGATACACCTTTGTTTAATAAATTTTTAGGACGAAAAGTGTAAGTAAATTTTGACCCTTGTACTATCTCGCTAGGTGACATTACAATACATTTTAACTGGCGTTTGTGACCAGAAGTTCCTGAGATCCTGCGTGGTCTTCCTACTCCATCAACTTTATATTAGCATATAAATCTTGAAATTATGGCTAGCGCAAGAAGATATTTCATAAATGGCAAACTACAGTCTCAGTGTTTTATTAATATTCTCCCTGTCATATTTTTATAAGTACTTGTAAAAGTTTTTCTTCCTTGCATGATCCTTGTGCAATTGACCAAGGTACAAATGAGAAACTCTGTATAATACTCCCTTTTACACAGATTACAAATGGTGTTATTCTAACCTTTATTATTCAAAATGCCGAATTATTGATGTTTGTTGCATTCCATCTTCATGGTGTACGAATTTTAATGGGCAGCAATGTTTTTATGCAAGCTGATACAAGCTAAGGTTCTTTCTACACTTAAGATCATTATTACATCCAACATATTGATGTTTGGAATGATTTTAAAATTTCCCTTGTTACCCAATATAAAACTTTTGTAATTTTTTTTGTTTGTAATTCAAGAAATTTGTTAAAATAGTTAAGTTATTAGAGTCAAGAATAGTTAATTCTTTGAATTATCGGCACAAATCGTTATTTAAAAATGAGGAAAGAAATTGTGCTTTAATCTGGTAATTTACACTTGTAGATTAGATGACTTGAGATCAATACTGATAAAAATGTTGATGCTATTTAAGAACAAGTGGTTAGTATAATTGGTCGATTGCACTTTCATGTAACTAAAAATAAAATTCCAGCTAAATGCTGTACCTAATGAAATAATGTTGCTGTTCATGGCTATGTTGACTGTGAAACAAAATTAAATTTTTTGTCTCAAATAGCTTGTTGTATTTTTTAAATGCAATGTTGTAATAATAAAATAACGTTTACCGTAAAATCTGGTGTATAACCTGTGCACCTATACTTACTTAATTTTTATTAATTTTAAATTATTTCTTAATTTTTTGGTATGCGCGCCATAGAACGCTCACCCTCTTTTTGTTATGAAGGAACCTGAAATATATATATATGTGCAGTGCTCTTATGTTTTGAAACCATTTACTTGAGACATTATCCCAGGCTTTTTTTTAAAAAAATAGTATACATAGAACTATGTATAAATACCCCCCTTGTGTCTTTTTTTTATTTTTGCAACTCTCATTTTTATAACCGCTATATAATGTGCACCCATAAATTTCAATATTTTTTGTGTTCAAAGTGCGCATTGTATACCGGATTCTACAGTGTATAAAAGGATAAGTAATGTTCTTCACGACAGATTTTTAATTGAATATTCTTATGTGTCTCAAAATCAATTATACTTGTCATGGAAATGTTTATATGCTTTATTTCATTCCAAAATATATGCAGACATTTCAGTAGTTTTGGTTTTAATCCATCTTGAAATCTGTGCAAAAGTAAAAAATCACTTATACATTTGATGGAAGTTGAAAAACTTATATGCAAAAATATTACTTTTCAAATTGAAATCTGATGTAATTCCCTTTATGGTGAATTCTGCTCTGTAAGACAATAAAGAAAATTATTGCATTGTTTGATTGAATCAAGTAATTTATATTTTATTTACAATTTTATTTAATAAGTAATATTTTTTTTTCTCTTGAAAAACATTTATATAGCTAGTAGTCCTGTTCTAAAATTATTATGTTGATTGATTCATGTTTATTATGCTAACTTTATCTTATTATTTCTACAATATCAAGTATCTTGTTTTTTCTTCCTTTTTTTAAAAAAAAATAAGCTGTACAATTGTAGGAAATATTTTTCTGCACTTTGATGTAGAACAAAGCATGCAAACTATTTTAAAATCTCAAATTTTAGCAAGTTATACTCAAAAAATGTTTTGAACTTTTTTGAAACTTTTACTGTTATATTTTTATTCTAACAAAATCTTTCTATTACACTTTTTGTCAAGTTTGAAAGTTTTAAATAAAATACAAAAAAATTTCATATTAACTTCAATATGTGTATTATATATATTCTTGTTTACATTGCTGCGCATTTCCTAAATTTGGCAGAAGAGAGTTCCCTCTTTTCCCACACCCCTTTTCTTTCTAAATGGATTTTTAAAATAATAATACTATTTATGAAAAAAAAAAAAAGAGAAAGAACATTGGTATACTAGTTGATATTAATTTTGTGTAACAAAAATTAGTTTGTCACCTACCCTCTTCCAATTTTTGTCATTTTGAAGTAATATTTAAATTTTCGTGTAAAAAATTTGTAGTTTTTGTAGGGTTTTTTACTGTAAATTTTTTTAAGAATTCGATTAATTATTTAATGCATTATTGTCAAATTTAAATATATTTAATTTTTTCTGTTTTTCTTTCTTTGTAGGAGGTACTAAATCTGAAAATTATGGATTCGACATTTAATTTTTACTGCTACTACATGATTTGTAATTGAAAGCTAGAGTT